TTAACATATATGACTGGTTTATTATTATATATTTCTTTAAAAATGACCAAAATACATATATCTATTTTGCAGTTAGTATTAAAGTACTGAAAAACATACTAAAAGCTAAATAACGTCCTTTGGGCACATACAAATTTAGTTTAAAAACTAAAGCTTTGCTTGAATTGAGTTTTTCATCATTAGTCACTTCCAAATGTCAGTAATTTGTATATATTTATCATATAAATAAGTGATTGAAATATGCTGTGAGCCACTGTTTATAGACAGCTCCAATTGCAGAGTTTCATAAACTTTCCACAGTCAACTTCTGTGAAGTTGAGTGGATTCGAACATGAGAACTCGAAGCTGACTCAAGGCACGTTCATTCTCTTCTCTCTTTTCACTAATTGCTTGCATGGAATATGGAATTCCTTCAGATCGTCAACTAAGCGCAAAACACTTTCGATAGATCAATAGACCTCTTCAAGATATTTCTATAGATTTCTGATGAGTTTTTCAATATTGGGGAGCTGTGAGTCTATAAACGTAGCTCGGTATAATTGAAATGTTGAGAGCTAATTAGAAAATTGAATGCCGGCTGAGTTGCAGCTGCGCAGCTGTTGGCCTGCTCCCACTCACTCAGTCTCTGGGGCTTGCCTTATCTCGGCAGCTACTTCCTTAGAGCAGGTGTGCTGCCTAAAGCGTAAGCTGCGCTGCCTTGTCTCCGGGCACGTCAGGAGCGAAGTGTTACAGTCGAATGTCTGCGTTGCTGTAATCGGCTTAGAGGTGAAACCTTTTGTCATTATAAAAGGATTTCAAGCTTGACAACATTTCCATTTGTTGCGATTTGGTCCTCTTCACTCTAGTGGGGCTGGCGAAAAGCGAAGCCTAGTTGAATGGAGGGCAGCAGCAGCAGCTGGGTAAGGCAGGTAAGGGAGGGCAATGGAGGTCCTGTGTGTTGCTTAGTTAACTTTTGGCTGGCTGCGTCCGTCACCGGGTCTTTGATTTTGTTCAAAGAAATTAAGATTCAAAAACCGATACCGTTCATGTTACCAGTCCCAATTATAAGCCGGCCCAGCCTCGGCCCATGTTTTGCTATGCTGGGCTGTGCGTTCAGGTAAACGAGCTGTCTCTGTGTCTGTGGCAAAAAGCATTTCAGATAAATTGCCAATCGAACTAGATAAAATGAGCTGTGTAAATAGTGGAAAGGCGCAGATAGGCCACTTTGAGAACGGCCCCAAGTGCTGCCCGCTTGGCGGAAACTATGCCGAAGCGAAACTGAGCCGCATCAAATCAAGTCAAATCGAATCACAACAAAACAAAGCAGAGCAAAACAATGCTAAACAAAACAAAACAAACCACACCAAACCAAACAAWACCACCTGCTCCTCCAGCTCCACTAGGCTTTGATCTGTGCGCTGCGTGACTGCCTGATGGGTCGGATTCTGGCGACCAGGACATGGACTGGGATCCGAATGAGAATGTGGTTGACCAGGGAAACGCAGCTGCCTGCAGGTCGTTATGTCTAATGAGTATTACGGAGACAGGCGGACGGACAAGTACGCCGAGGCAGCAGCCGGGGCGGCGTGACTTAAAGGGTTGCCACTAGCGCTGAGCGCGTGAGTCTCAGTTCGTTGACACTCACGGAAGTGCGTGAGTCTGAGTCTGAGTGAGTGCTCGACTCTATCAGGAGAGACAGACTGACATGGGTAGAACATATAGAATTGATCGAGCATAGCTGTAGTGACACGAAGCCCAGTTCGTGTCGTGTCACGACGAAAGATCGTCGAGTGGAGCGAGCTGAGCTGAGAGTTTGATTGGGGCACGAATTGACTTGTCCATCAGAATTAATTGACAATGTGTTAGGCTCGTGCCGGGGCTCGTGTCACGCGCTCAGCTTGGGCCCACGCTTTGCTATGCCACGCATTGATATGACAATAAAATTGAACGACTTTGGTTTTGGATTTTGCGACTTTGCTTTTATCGCCCTCCACTCGGCAGCCGGCGGTTGCTTTCGGCTGGATCCCCACCTCTCTCCACTCCTCTCCACCCCTCCCCAGCCAACCCCAGCACATGAAGAACGCTTGCACAATTTTTAATCATGGCTGGGTATTCTCGACATGGCCCCAGCTCCTATCGGCTGCCCGTCGTGGACATTGTTTGTGCCAGCGACACATAAACATGCATGGCCAGACTGTGCTGGCTGTGACTGGGCTGGATTACGGGCGGGGGCGGTGCGCAGGGGGGAACAGGAGCGGGCCTAGGACCGGTTTATTGTTGCCGTTTGTATGGCTTTTAGTCCTTTATCTTGTTTCTAACTCATTGGATCGCAAAAACGGTCTCGTGTTCACCTTAATTGGGGTAAACATAAGTTCTGATTGCCCGCCGGGCTAGGCCAGGCCAGGCCGCTTTTCTATACAGCTCCAGCTCTAGCTCTCCCTTGGCTTCGGATTTGGCTCTGGCTTTGGCTTTGGCTTTGGCTTTGGCTCTAGCACGCATACCAAAGAGTTGCCAGCGACATTTTGCAGCTTCTTTTCGCTTTTCTTGTTGCCTTCGCTCTCGTTTTCTTTATTCACTATCTTTTTATTTTGATTCCCTCGTGCTGTTGTTGTTCGTCTAATTGAAGTTGTTCCTTGTCCTCGGCTGCTATCAAGAAATGCGCTGGCCAAAAAGAGCAGAAGACGTTCTAGCGCAATCTCAATCGCTGGCTAGCTAAAAGCTAAAAGCCAAAAGCTAAAAGCTGAAAATCGAGGACAACAACGCTCCCAACATATCCAATTAGATGGCAGCCAAAAAGGGGTAGAGCGCACCAGAGGGGTAGAGGGGCAGCAGCAGGAGCAGGAGCAGGGGTCGGGCTCCCGGGGCAAACGGATGTGGCGGCCCAAATGCCATTGTTGCCGGCGCTGCCATTGCCGGCGCTCAGATCACAAAAGCGAGATAAAAATTGTTGAACGTGTAATTTTTATTTATTGCATACAATTTTTAGAACAAATGACAGACAAAAGGTTGCGCCGTCAAGGCACTCGCAGTCGCTGTCGCAGTCGCTGCTGACGTCGCAGCTGACGTCGAGTCTGGGGAGTCGAAAGGGATTGTAAAGCGGAAATTTCATTGCCTACATTTGAGCGCGCGCTTAGTAATGTATGCATTTGCCATTCAATGTGTCTGTGTGTGTGTGTGTGTGTGTGTCTGCGAGTGTCTGTATGAAAATTAAATTTTCTACTTCAAAAGCTGAGCGACGAAACGGACGGAAACAGCAGCCACAGACCGCAGCCAGAGCCTCCTGCTTCAAAAAACCGAATTGAAAAAGCGTTTAGGACACGGCCTTTCTCACTCTCTCTCTGCTTGTGTGTGTGTCTCTGTGTGTGTGTGTGTGAGTGAGGGCAACTAAATGATGGGGAAACTATAAAAATTTACATAACAATAATAAAGGCAAAGGCAAAAACGGCGCAAAGTCAAAGAAACGAAAGACATTTATTCATTTCTGTTCTGAAATTAGCATAAAGTAAACCTCGCACTCACACGCACACACACACACGCACACACACAGGCATTTACATAGTCGCATAAGGGACAACAATGGCTATGCGTGGGACTGGATGAGTTGGCGGTGGGTGGAAGGGGTGGGCTAAAGGTAAGGTATGGGCGCTGGTTACGCACAATCAAAGCCTTAACTTCAGAGTCTGTGCCGGAGTCTGTTCCGTCGTTTGATAAGCGTGAAAAACGTGCAAATTTTAA